CTCCATCCCACTTCTTTTTCCCTTCAGCAGTGGCTATTGCATTGGTCTCAATGGTATTTCTTGCACTGAGAGGCAAGAGCCATTTCTGTGCTAGATTATTGAGGTCAGGTATGTGTTAGCATTTCAAACTAAGGCTGCTTCATCTTTGATTTTAATCATTATAATTCAAACTGTATGATCATTTCTCTTCCAATGCAGGAGGAACTCTCTTTTTTTTTTGCCCTTAGAGGAAATTCTGGAATCAGATAGATCAGTCTGATTAACCAAGCTAAAACAGCAGGGATCCTAACGCAGGGACTGGTGCCCCTGACTGAAGAGAGTACCAGGATTAAATCCTTTGGTCCCTCAAATGGTCTTCTCCTACCATGTATGCTAAGGAAGGTAATCCCCATAGCAAATTGTCTGGACAATTTGCACTACCTCTGGTAATTCCTAGGAAGAACAAAAGCAATGATCAGAAATAGTTTGGGAGGAGTTTTGCAAAGAAGTTGCTGGGAAGGGGTAAGTTATGACTCAAAATATTCTGAGGAATCCTATTAACCATCTTCAGAGCTGCTTTCGTGCCATGTTAAACTGTGAAAATACATTTCCAGCTCTAGGAATTGCCACAGGAATGGATTAATAAGTGATTTTCAGGGCTGTCACTTGTTGGCAAGCCTTCTCTTGCAGGTAACTTCTCTGGACGTGGCATTGTTGGGTACATTAGTCACCCTCTGCCAGAGGATTGCACAATGGATGAAGAGCCACATTCAGATTATGGGTAAAGTAAATATGTTGGGCAGACCAGGATCCAGGCAGTGGTCCCTGGAGAAAGGGGATCTTCACTGTATCAAAGAAAACAAACTTCATATAAAGAAAGGGGGAATGAAAATAGGAGTCTAAAGATCCTTCTTCAGATTGCTTTGAGGAACCAGCTGGAAAGCCAGGACCATGAGGCAGCTTCAATCAACAGTAGCCGACAGCAGCCACCTTTTGCTGCCATAGGATGCCACGGCACCCTCAGCAAAGGCCAGCATTACTGGAAGGAGGTATGAACCCATGGAAGAACAGTTGAAATGTTTGTGGGGAAGAGGCTCCAGAGAGGGAGCTTCCGTGTCCTCCTCAGTGCAGCACCTCCTCCGTGGTTTGTATTTTGCGGCCACGTCCCTCCTGACGCTGTACAGGGCTGGTGGTGCAGAAGGTGGCCGTGGTGCAGGAAGCCAGGGCCCAGACTCTGCCTGCTTGCCTGCAAGGCGCTCGCAGGCAGCGTGGTTCTCCAGCCCCCTCCAGTGGCTGGAAAACAGGCTGAGAAGTCAGCTACAGCCGCGAAGCCAAAGCCCCGAGGCCAGTAGGATTCAGGCTTTTGCGCATCCAGAAGTCCCCAGCCTGCCTTCTGCTGCGTAGAGCAGTATTTCCCCTTCCCGTGTTGAGGTAAATGATTAGATGGACAGGCAGGCTCTTGCACTAGAACATCTTTATTCAGCTACAAATAGACCCAAGTCTAGCACAGATACCTCCAGTCTGCTCTGAGGTTTAATCTTGCTGCTGTGCAAATTCACTCCACGCTGAGCAAAGACAACAAACCGCTGAACAGTAGCTCTGGAAACAGGTATCTTCTGCATGTCACCTCTACTGTGTCCTGGGTGGGTTCTTAGACTGGTTCCTTCACTGAAACGGGAAGGTCTAAAGAGCTGCTGCAACTCAAAGGCTGCTTTTGAGTGCAAAAGTACTTGAATTTGGGGGTGAAAAAGAAAAAAAACACTTCAGCCTCAAAAATACCATTCTTTGGCCTTTTGCAAAATTCACTCAAGTGGCAGGAAATGATAGTAGGGTATAACCAGCTATCAGCTTTTTGTGCTCTGGAAATCCCCTACAGCAACAAAAACAAGAAAGCACATGTGAAAAGACTGTTTTTGGACCTGCTTTGCTTAGGCCAAATCTATCTTGGTTCTCTAGGCGCTTTACAAATCTTGTCATCCACCATCCTGTTCCATCCACTTTTATAGCAAGGCCATTCAACATACACTTTCTGTACTATTCACACATATAATAGGGATTCTTCCTTATATGTGATGTATACTGTAGAACAGCTTAGTTTTCCAGCCATGATTTCACAATATTCATGTGCTGTTCATGTTATCTGAACATATCTCATGCACAACAAGCCAGCAAAAATACATTTGCCACCTAGGAGGGACTGGTGAAATCTGAGTTAAGGCAAGAATAAATGCTGCTTATATAGCACAAAGCTATATAATACGCATATATTATTGCTCAGATATCACACTGGAAGACTATTCTTCCTCCAACTGATAAAGCAGGCAGAGGATGAAGTGCTGGTACCTACAGGACAGGATACCAAGGTCTATGAATACCATGAATTTATTTCAAGATTTAATATTTATTGTTCTGCAATGAAGATTCCAGATTTGTGTATTAAGAGTGTTTATCTGTATATTAGCAGTTAATCTGTATATTTGTCTCTGTATTAAACCACTTCACTTGGATAAGACCTACCAGTGGGACCTGCCCAGAAATTGTATCTGTACCAGCTATTGAGTCCATGCATGGATAAGAGGGAAGTCGCCTTCCCTGGCTTTTCACTGTACCTCATTCTGGGGCACTGCACCACAGAGCCAGCTCTCCCCGGAGAAGCCAACGGCCTCCATGTCCGTACGACCACCTCCTCCCAAAAGGCACTAACGCTTGATTGGTCTGCAAGATTATCTGATCAATGCAAAAACAGAGGGAAAAGGGTGGACTCAAGCTGTCGGCATGGCATCTTCTCAGGACAGTCATCTCCTTCGTTTTCTGCCTCTCTATCCTGGAGCTTGAGAGCATGTTCAGCCTGTGCTCCTGCAAAACATTATGGTACTGCCAGCAAGGTGACAAGAGGCTTTACAACCTGTTTGCATCTTTTTGGCATGTTAACACTTCTATAAAGCAAGCACACAAGTCTCAGGCAACAAGCTCAGGGGCTGCCTTGGCCTCCAGCATGGTGAAAACCTAAACCATCTGCAAGCCTGAAAAGGAAAACAGTGCAATCCTGCTGCCTTGCCACCCTGAAAGAGTGCCCATAACTATGCATCCTTGCTGTTATATCCCATCTGTGGAGGATTTTGAAAGCATCTTTTGCATTGGTATCTGGGCACTGACTGTAACGAACACAGTTTAGCTTGTTCTCAACAGTGCAGTTTTCAACAGTGCAAATTTTATCACCTTAACTTAAAATCATTGTGCAGAGGCTAGCTGGACATTGGCTGCCATTCCAGCATCATGCTCCAGCCTTGCCACAGAATCAAAATAATAATTAAAATAATAATAATAATAATCAGAGACAACATTCTTCCTGTCCTTCCTCTTTCTCTGAAAGCATCTCTGAAATCTCTGCATCTTTGTTTGCAGTTGCAGCAATGCAGGCTGTCTAGAGAGAGTTTCTGATGTCTTTTTCCTTCATAATCACACGGTTTCTTTTTATAGATATTGGATCAACTAACATCCAGCACAGCAACACAAAAATTCAATCTAGTAACCCTTCTACTGTTTTTCCTGCAGAGTGAACAGGAGATGATTTTGGCTATCATTTTCCTCAAAGATACACCAGAAATCTTCCTGGTTCAATCATGGCTTCATTTGAGTACCACAGTCCTTATCCTGTCACTCAATACTCACACAGTAGCAATGGGTGACCCACAGGAACCATCACATCACCACAACGGGCTGTAGAGGCCATGTAACCATCAGCTTTCCCAGGTTAAACTACCTTTTCTTCTTCTCTCCATGTGTTTTTTCATTTGCGCTGAGGCAGTGGTTGTGAGACTCGGTCGGTTCAAGGAGGTCATGGAGAGAACTGGCCACCCCTTGCCTCATCCATCATAGTGCTGGAGGGAAAGCCAAGATGCCATGGCACATCTGGTGCTCTGTACACAGTGACTCAGACGGGATAGGATTGCATGTTCTGCTACTCTCCCATCTGCACGATGGGTTCCCTGCACGGAGAAAGCCAGGACAGCAGCTACCTTGGAGCACGTAGAGACACAGACACAGTTCTCCAAGTAACACACAGCACTGGACAGGAAACTTGATGCATTTCACACCAGAAGAGGACAGAAGAAAATACACTTTCACAGCAGCAATCACAGAATCCATGGGGAAGGGAAACGCTAGATATCGATGCCAAAAAGAGCACAGTGTTGTTGCAAACCTCTTACCAAGAAGAAGAGAGACTCCCTAGCACACTAGAGGAAAGTGAAAGCCCACAGCTTAAGTATGGATGCATTTCCCACACAGAAGTACCACTGAGGCCCAGGATTTTTTTTTATCATGGAGCAGCAACAGAGGTAGAGTCATAACAAACAGATAAATATTAATAGCTATAGGATATCTTGTATTTGCTCATGTAACAGTCACACACAGGTCTTAGTCTCATTGCCCAACCAATTGCAAAAAACAGTTACCAATTAGATAACCAATAGTTTAAGTATAGACACACACAATCACTGCACCCTAAATTCAAAGGGTGAACCCACAGGGGCAGGGAATTATGTGCACCCCATGAGCAAGTACAATATTTGACCGTGCAGTCAGGATTGGCACCTGGTTTTGTCAGCCATTTACCAAATGAAACTGTCCTGGAAAGCAGTCGATTGCCCTTTAACTGTGTTCATGAAGTAGAAATTGTTTAATGGGGTCTGGGACTGGAAGGCTGTGGATCAGATCCAGACGACATTTGCCAAGTATTCTTCGTACAGCTATGCGGCAGAGAGACAACAGGCTCCGGGTGCGGCCTGCAAGGAAGAAAGCGGAGAGGAAATACTGAGGGATGGAGGGAGAAGGAGAGAGGCATAACAGCATGTAAATTGTGCTGCGCTCCGGACAGCACAAAGCCTCTGCTGACAGCGGAGGAGCCCGTTACCTCCTCCAAAAGCTGAGGTGATGCTCTGCACTGCAACAGAAAGGCAGTGCCGGAGAGCTGACCTTGCGCAAATCCTCCCTGCGAGGAGGCCACACTTTCTGGCAAAAAAAAATATTGGAGCAATCGCAAATGCCACATGGGCAACTAGGAAGGTCAAGGTGGAGACTGCAAGGGGTTGTTACTATACACCTGAGCCCTGCCAGCGTGGGTCCAAGACACCCCTGCCAAATCCACACCAGTGAAGTCTGAGAGAGGCTTTATGCTAATCAGATAATTTGGAAGTGATGCAGACTTTCCTTTTGTACTAAGCCATCCTCTGGGAAGCAACAGCTGTGGGGAGAAGTCTAAGCACTGGCAGCCAGCTCAGAGCTTATCCCAACTTTCCTACAAGGGCTTCTGTTGAATTCATGGAGAGCTCTGCCAACACAAGGAGAACAGTATGGTGGTATCCTTCTTGATTCAGGAATTGGACCTCCAAGACATTGCTCCATTTTCCTGACTGCTGTACCTAAGGAAAGCAAGCAGGGCTATCCCACTGCCTTCCTAAACGCAGGCTTAATGAAAACCACCTGCCCTCGTTTATTCCCATCTCTGCTTTGCAAAAGTCCAGGAGGGTTTGAAAAACAGGTATGTGCAAAGCTGATATACTTTCAGGTGGGGGATAGGCATTGCATCCCAAGTCCTGTATTCCTTTTCAGAGGGAAGTTTCAGAGGGAAACTCATCTTTTGACCCTGACGCAAAGCCCTCGCCATCAGTGCCTGAGCCTGGTGGTTTTATGAGGTGCTGCCCTTGCTGGAACAGGGGTGCACACTGAGCTGATGTTGCTTTCGCTAAAAAAGGAAAAAAATAGCAGGAGAACACAGGCGTGTTTGAGCTTGAGGCTTTGGCTTGCATCCTCTATAACTCATTTACTTCCCAGAGGATACTGACTTCAAAAAGCGAGCTTTTTTTCCCGCCATTTTACATCCCCAGATGAGCTCCCAAACCCTATTTCCCACCACTACTGTGACTGTCACTGCAGCAGCCTGCCCAAATACCACTTTACCACATCAGTCCCAAGGAATCCCTGGGAGCCACTGAGCACAGGGACACTCAAGAACAGTGAGGGCACATTTCCGTGGCTTCACCGAACTGGATCTGTGGGCTGGATGCACCACAAGTGGTGAATGAGCAAGAGAACAAAGACATAAGCGCTAGAGGCATGGAGCTCCACTGTATCCTCCCTTTGCAAGGGAGGACCAGGGAGCCACAGAGGTCAGCCCCATGTTCCTCTCCCTGACCAACACCTGCCTGGCCAGGAAAGGCTCTCTGGAGGTCTTATCAGGGCTGGTGAGCTTGGTGAGTTCAGAAACATCTCACCGAATAGCCTGTTAAGTCCTGACTATCTTTTGTGTATGTTATAATTGCTTTATACTGTTAAGTATGTCCTGCTTGCAGAATCTTTTTACACCTGGCCTGAACAAATGAACTTGAACAAAACCCACTCTTCCTAGCTGATGCTGCCTCCTCTTTTGAGGGAAGCCATTTGTGCAACATACCAATGAAGCCAACAGTGGAGAAAATAGCTGTGGTGATATTTAGGAAGAAATACTCACCAAGCATAAAACACACGGATACAAATTAATCCATGGACCCAGTACACCCTATCAAGCTAGCCACCCCTAGCTACCAAATAAAGAATCCTCCTAAATGCAGCCCAAGATAAAACCAGAGCCACTGTAGTAAGTCAAAGCTACTTACCTCTGGCTTCTTCAAACACCTGCAGAGCCTCTGGGTTGACTTTGACCCTTCCTGTGGATTCCCCTCCCAAGGCCTCTACCTTCACCAGATTCAAATTAGCTCCAAAGTCAATCAAAAGGTGGACAAATGCTGCTTCACAGCCATGCCGCAGGACAGCGTCCATCACACACACTGGCGAGCCCCGGGAAAAGCCTTGGATATTGATGGGCCCACAGCAGTTAAAATCTGGGTTGGCTCCTGCCTGGAGCAGCAACCTAAAGCACTGGAGGTTGTGGTAGGCAGCACTGATGTACAGTGGGCAGACCACGAGCGTGGTGAGGGGCCGCAAGGAAGGGCTGGGGAGCCGGGAGGCCAAGTGGTGATTCACGTCCACATCTGCACCGTACCTGGATGGGAGAGACAAGAGGCTGTTTGGAGGCTTCTCCCCTTTCATGCCCTCCTGAAGGATGTGCTGAGCATGGCCTTGGCATGAGGGACAGCTCAGCCTGAGCCAAGGGCACATAATGTTGGTCTCTAACTGGCTGGCTGGGGAATGGAGGGTGTTTCCAGGTGACTCAGTTGAAGAGAAGCAGTGGAATCAGTGAAATAACTTCCCCATCAGGATAACAAAAGGCCAAGAAAGCAGACAGGCAATGGATCTGACTATCACAAACAGCCGGAAAACGCAACAGAAATCTGCTCAAAATTTGTGTTCAACAGTGGAATATATATGACCAAATCCTGTTCCTGAAGGAGCTTGGATGGTTGAAATGCCATCAAACAGAAGCCTTTTTCCTAGTATACAGCTCAGCCACATGGATGCATTTACCAATTCTAGCCATTCCAGGAAACTGGAAAAATACTAAATAGTTGTGCTGAGCTTCCACTCTACCCATCCATTCTGCATAGCTTGGTTCACCAGCTATATACTATAGTAGACACTGTACAAGAGATACTGTACAATACCTGAAGCAGAGACCTCCATGAGATGTTAGAGAAAACCTGTCAAGCCTTTCACAACCAGCTTTTGCTTCATGCTGCTCCATGGGGAGGTCAGTATCTCACATCCTGGCTACATGGTGCCACGCTGTCTGGACTACTCCAGAGTCCCCTGCGGCCACAGCAAAGGGGACTCTGCCACAGCAAGTCTCTGGCTTGTTGTGCCAGAGAGTAGGTGAGTGAGCAGGGTAGACCCCTCCTCAAATGGAAATCAGCAGAGTCATACAACAGAAGTAGCATTCACACCATCTAGGCTCAGTGGGATCTTTTAGGGAAGCACAGACGGCACCAAGTAGAGAATGAGGAAAAAGTAGGGTTCATTAGCTTTGGAGCTCTTGTTTTTTAAAACATTGGAGAAAGAGAAGAATGCAGCAAAGTAAATGGGTACAAAAAGACTAAGTGTCCCTTTCTGGAAAAGCATGGAATTTGAAAAATTGAAATGCTGCAGAATAAGTAACAACAGAAATAAGAATCTATCTGTGTTTGGCTTGAGGCTGGGTAACACCCAAGCAATGGTGACACTGCAGCTGCATCTATTTCACATGCAGCCTGCAGAGGAGCAAGAAGGGAGAGAACACAATCCCTGAGCGAGTAGTTGTTTTTAATTACAGAGTTACAGATCAATCAGAAGCCCTGTCCTTTCCCTGCACAGTAATAAAATGTCCCTTCACCCGCCAGTCCCTCTCTCAAACTGCAAAGCATGCATTCAGAAGACCAGGTTTTGCTGTCTTCCTAGATATCATAATATTCTTCTTTGCAGTTAATAAAACATATAAGGAAACCACCTGGGGATAAATTCTGCCTCAAGGCATGCATAGCTCTTTCTGAACCCAGTAGGGGTTGGTCCCAATCCAGCAAATACTTAACCACATGCTTTAACTCTGAGAACAGAAATAGGCTCATTTAAATTAAGCATGCACAGAACAAGGGTCAAGAAAACTTGTCTAAGAGCTGTAAACAGCACGCTATGTACACACGAGATTTCCCAAGCCAGGAACATCTCAGTTAGGCTCCCAGGTGACCTGTGGGGTGGAGAAATGACGCTGCAGAGTGAGAGCTGGTCTCTGCACCAGCCCATGGGGCCAACCTTCACTTCCCGGTCCAGACAGCCAGCCCACCACTGCACCCTAAGGGACATTCCCACCTTCTAGTGGCTTTCAGACTGCCTTGCTAAATGTGCTTGACTTCGCCTGCGTTGAAGCACAGAGGGCTAAATGAGATGTCTGTTCTCCATAGAAATCACAAGTTCTCTGAAGGTAAAAAAAAAGTTATCTTAAAATTAGACTATCCAAACATATTGGATGGAGTCGCTTGTGTTGCTATAGGGTTTTTGTAGGGCCACTGTGACTCTATTGCCTACTGTGGCCATAGTTCTGACCAGACAGCCACATACTCTCACATTTCTATTCTTCCCTCTCCTTTTTTTCCCCTATTTTTTTACCCCATTATCATCAAAATTCCCATTGTGGATATTCCCATTTTACAGCAAAATATGAAATTCTCCTCTTTCCGTACAGTTAGTTACACATCTGAAGCACTGCTGTGATTTCTCAGCTCCCTTCTGCAGTGCTTGCAGTGAGGCAGGAGGGCTCGCTCATCCTTAGCTTGCTGGGTCACCCTCAGTTACGTTGCAAGCACAACACAGCAGTCCAGCTCACCGCAGCATGATCACATAACAAGCTGTTAGGAAAGTAATCTCTACCCTGGCAGTATAATTGTAAATATTTCCGCCAGTCTGCCTATAAAATGGATCACCATTCCGTGGCTGCGCGTGTATTTACTATTAACGGATACAGTTTCACTTATGGTTTGGTTAGCTGGTTCAGCAATTGTGAATCCTGATTGTGCAACCATATGATTAAAAAAAAAAAATGAACCAGGTGATGTTTAGACACCTGCAGCAAAGTACCAGGGCAATGAATGTGCAAAGGAGGACAGCCTGACCAGGCAGAGCTTTCTTCTCAGGACTCTGGAGCTATCTCAAGCTAAGTAATCCAAAATATGTCTTTATTTTTCAGTAAGAAGGGTCCTATTCATTGCATTCTCCTTGCCAAATCTTTTCGATCGACATTCTCTAAACCTTTGAGTGAGCTTTGCAACATACGGCTGCATTTTAAAGTACAAAACTCTGAATAGATCTATGAAATCTGTACTCCAAGATATTAGGAATTTTGGGCAATCTGACAATTTGGTATTAGCTTAGCAGCCTTGGGAGAGACATTGTCTAATAAAAAGATTTTGGACAACCTCCAGTTAATTTTTAATCCTGAAAGTTTTCCAAAATCTTGCTTTTAATATCGCTGGCAAGGTATCCCAAGGAGTAGACACATAAATCAATACATCAGCTCTCCGTGTGCTGAAATACCATTTGCTACATTTCATCCTGTGTTAGCGGATATATCAGGGGAGATTCTCAGGAATGCAGCTTATGAGCCTGAATCCTGTGCCAACAAGTACATGGTGATGGGGACATCCTTGTCTCCGCTTCCAGAAGAAGGAGCAAGGAGGGAAGGGGGGAACATTCTCCCCTTCTTTTTGCTTGCCAGCTTCCTTAAAGCTGCATTTCTGTGAAAAATAATTTCCCCATAAGCAAAAATGAAAGGAGAAAATCCCCAAGTATTGTGGAATTTTTGTATCTAAATCCTTTTCTGTTGTTATTTTCCAGCATTTGCAGTCACTGAGGGGATTCTTTAGAGAGTGTTTCTGTGGGAATCCAAATAAACTTTCTTTTCTTTTACTATTTCTTTCTACAACCTATATTTGCCCCTTATAATCCCTTATTATTTGGCATCAACAGCCCATGTAGTTGCTCACTACAGTCCCTTATACAAAGAACTTCCAATTTAGAAGAAAGGAAATATCACAGCATGCCACAGAGGTGAAAATCCAAGTTCACAGACCATACTGCTAGTCCCCCTGTCTGCTGCTGGTGCTGCAGACAAAATTC